TTTCTGAATGCAAAACATACGAAGAAGCTATCGACACTCTCAAGAGTCTCTACATGCAGCCTTGCAACGAAGTGTTTGCTCGACACTTGTTAGCAACGTGTAAACAAGAATCTGGCGAAAATCTGGATCAGTTTGTTCGTCGACTCAAGTCGCTGACTACAGATTGTTCATTCAGGGCAGTTACAGCCGAAGAACATCGTAACGAATCTCTACGTGATTCATTCATCTCAGGTATACAGTCTTCGATGATACGCCAGAGGCTATTAGAACAGCGTACTTTAACTTTTCAAGCGGCATACGATCAAGCACGAGCTCTAGAGATGGCACATCAACAATCGCAGTCATACAACAATCCTGTTACACCTTGCGCGTCCATTTCTTTACATGATGTACCTCATTCATCAGATTCCACACCCTCCGTCAATGAAACAACCATTGCTGCCGTTGAATCCAAATGCTTTTTCTGTGGTAATCGTAGACATCCTCGTTCCAAATGCCCCGCCCGTGATGCAGTTTGCAAAGCTTGTGGCAAGCAAGGACATTTTCAGAAGGTTTGCAGGTCTGCGCCATCTACGAAAAAAGGTCCATCTTCAGTTAACTCTATAATTTCATCTCTCGTTGTGGCTTCAGCACCTCAAAGTCTCACTGATGCTGTTACGCAGCTTACTGTCAATGGGAAATCAATGCAAGCTCTAGTGGATACCGGAAGCAGTGAGAGCTACATCTCTTCCTCAGTTGTTCGTAAGTATAACTGGAAAGTCCATAAGTCTCGAAACAGAATCACAATGGCGAGTACGAATCTTACTAGTCATACTGAAGGACATTGTCTTCTATCCATCTGCTATAAAAACCACACTTATGATCTATTCAAATTTTCCATTCTTCATAATTTATGTGCAGACGTCCTTCTTGGACATGATTTTTTAAAACTTCACAAACACATTGAGATTCCTTTTGGGGGATCAAAGCCGCCTTTTTCTCTCTGTGGTCTACCTTGTGTTCGCGTCGACCTGCCTACTCTGTTTGAAAATCTTTCAAAAGACTGTAAACCGATCGCGATAAAATCCCGGCGTTATTCTCGTGAAGATGAAAGTTTTATTTCCACCGAAGTCAACCGGTTACTGCAAGAAGGTGTTATTGAACCTTCTAATTCTCCTTGGCGAGCTCAAGTTCTTGTTACGTCAAACGAACGCCATAAAAAGAGGATGGTAGTTGATTATAGTCAGACAATCAATCGATTCACTTTTCTGGATGCTTACCCATTACCTAGGATTGACGAAATGATAGAAAAAATCGCACAATATGACATATTCAGCACTCTTGATCTGAAGAATGCTTATCATCAAATTGCCCTAAGGAACGAAGATAAACCATATACTGCTTTCGAGGCTTGTGGGAAACTTTACCAATTTTGCCGAATTCCTTTTGGTGTTACCAATGGCGTAGCTTGTTTTCAACGCATTATCGATGAATTGATCAGTAAAGAACAACTCACAAGCACGTTTGCCTACATTGACAATGTCACTATCTGCGGCAAAACTCAGGAGGAACACGACAAAAATCTAAACAAGTTTATGGTAGCAGCACGCAATTATGGAATAACCCTTAATGATTCCAAAAGTGTGATCTCAAGCAGAAGCATACAATTACTCGGTTATGAAGTTTCAAAGGGGGTTATTAAACCAGATCCCGATCGGCTAAAACCTCTTCGTGATCTAGAACCACCCACAGATATCAAATCTCAACAACGGGCCGTTGGATTATTTGCTTATTATTCACAGTGGATCCCTCGCTTCTCAGATAAAATCCACCCATTGGTAAATAATCGGATTTTCCCTCTTGATATCGAAACTCGAAATGCTTTTGACAAACTGAAAGACGACTTAGAACGTGCAGTCGTTGTGGTAGTTGATCCGAAAGCACCCCTTGTTGTTGAAACAGATGCTTCAGATGTCTCAATTGCAGCTACATTAAACCAGAATGGTAAACCTGTCGCCTTCTTTTCTCGAAGCCTCTCTCGAAGTGAGAAACATCATTCATCGGTTGAGAAAGAAGCCTATGCCGTGGTTGAAGCAATTCGTAAGTGGAAGCATTACCTTCTCGGAAATCACTTCAAACTTGTCACTGATCAACGTTCAGTAGCATTCATGTTTGACAAGATTCATAAAGGCAAAATCAAGAACGATAAAATAATGCGTTGGAGAATTGAGCTATCCCCTTATCAATATGACATCATTTATCGTCCTGGAAGGGATAATCAAGCTGCTGATACATTTTCCCGTAGTTTCTGCGGTTCCTTGCAGTCAGTGTGCGACTTGAAATTTCTCCATGACTCTATGTGCCATCCTGGAGTTGTCCGAATGATGCATTTTGTACGCTCGAGAAACCTTCCATTCTCCCTTGACGAGGTGCGCAATGTAACCAGTAAATGCGTGACATGCTGTGAGTTAAAGCCTCAATTTTACAATCCCTCTAATTTCAAACTCATAAAAGCAACCCAACCTTTTGAAAGGTTAAGCATCGACTTTAAAGGACCTCTACCGTCAGCTAGCCGCAATCACTATCTGCTCACGCTGATCGATGAATATTCTCGATTCCCCTTTGCATTCGCCTGCCCCGACATGTCGTCTCAAACGGTAATGAATTGCCTTTGCCAACTGTTTTCGATTTTCGGTATGCCTTCTTACATACATACCGACAGAGGCGCTGCTTTCATGTCTACCGAATTACGGGCATTTCTTCTGGAGAAAGGCGTAGCAACCAGTCGTACTACCTCATACAATCCTCAAGCCAATGGGCAGGTCGAGCGCCTCAATGGAACACTTTGGCGTGCCATCACTCTAGCATTAAGATCACGGGGCCTACCAACGGCACAATGGGAGTCTGTTCTACTCGACGCCTTGCATTCCATCAGATCTTTGCTCTGTACTGCAACGAACGCCACGCCACACGAACGACTGTTTACCTATAACCGAAGATCGACATCTGGGACAACTCTTCCTACTTGGCTCACTGTACCAGGACCAGTACTTCTCCGGCGGAGTGTTCGTCAGTCCAAATTCGATCCCCTGGTTGAAGAGGTGGAGCTATTGAATTGTAACCCGCAATTCGCTCACGTTCGCTTCGGTAATGGACGTGAAGATACAGTTGCTCTTCATCATCTGGCACCCAAAGGCGAAGATATAGATCAAGTTGAAAATTCAATACCGGAGGGCGACGCAATTCCTGAGCAACAAGTAAATGGGGATGCGACCACTGATCCTAATATTCTTCGTGAAGAAAATACAACTGAAACGAACAACGGGCGTATTCTTTTGGAAAAACAACAACGTGTACGGCCTTACAATTTGCGTACCAGAGAAGCGTGACATAATGGCTCATTCCTTTTCAAGCCGCAGTGAATGTTGTGAACTTTTCTTATAATACGTATCTAGTCATATTCATATCTCTACCGCTATTAACACTCTTTTTTTCCTTTATATGTTTAAGCCATTCCGGCTTCATTGTAAAATGAATAAAGCCTAAATTCTTGGTTCATTCGTCTTTTCAAGATTCAAGCATCACTCATCGTTCTAAGACTCAATCACCTTCGTAACAAGCTATATACCACTAATGTCAAAATTCTAGGAGATTGGATGCAATCATCCAGGAGCTTGACAAAAGTGTGGTAGGTGGATTTTTCAGTAACAAATCTGTATCAAGATACAGTACTTTGATGTACTGAGACCTCAAAATTACATTTCTCTCACAGAGAGAACAAGAAGGGGTTCTCATACATGCGAATCCTTCTCGAAGACAATTAATAGCGATTTCGTTAGTATGTATTGGTACAAAAATGCTAGTTGTCAACAATTTGGATACTGTATTATGTATGATTTTGAAATTCAAACAGAGTGATAGATGGAAGTAAAAATGAGCAGTGATAACCTTGCCCTCCCTTTGATCACACTAATATTTTAACAGAAAAGAGACAGTTACTAAATCGTGTACCAAAACTCCAGTGAGAATATTACACATGCTACTCGGACAAGTTGAAATAAACCTACTTTGTGACGCAGAATGTTCTCAAAGACAGCTTCAATAACACCTGAGGCTCTGGCTTCGTCATTCTCATCATATACATCTACAGAAGCATCCGTTTGCTCGCATGGATTCCCACAGCAACCCTTGGGTGCAGTATAAAGCCACGGTTGTTGCTCATCCTGTTAACCAAAATAAAAAAGTAGAAAACTGGTTTCAATAAAAATTTCTGTAGAGCAAAACAATCTGTGAACTTTGCGGTTTTCAGTTATAATAAAATGTTGGCACAAGTTGTCTTAGTCATATTCCTGTGAAGAAAACATACTACTTTATATATCAATCGCTTTTACAAGGATGTAATACTGCTAAATCTACTTAAAAGATAGTCTTGGAAAAGTAGGTAATAACAAGTACTGGTGGACAGATCACTTCGAGGCATATCCAAACAACTGGTTCCCAACTAACTATCGTGTGAGTTTATTTATTACTATCAGGAAGTATGAGCTTATTGTACGCTTTTTCTGAAGATGATGAAAATAAACTATCTTCAGTAGCCTACAATAACAACAGCAATTTCAGTTCCCTATAATTCAAGAGAAGAGAATTATATGGGACAATGTTGTCACTTGAGATTTTTTGGTGCTGCTTAATAAATTTATGCTCTTTCGACTTTAATGGAAGTATCTGTCTACTATAAAGCAGTTTACTAAGGATTTACTAAACTTTTAAGCAGTCTGATGGGTTAATTCAGCTAAACGGATGGAAACAACAACAAATTAGTAATGGCATGAAAAAAAACAGCAAGAATAAGCTTTCGATCGATCACCTGGCTTACATCTGAGGATGGGTCATGCTCAGAAGTATCACTTAAAGGTTGCTCCACTTCCATTGCTTCTTCATATTCCACCGCATCGAGACCTGTGTTACGATTATCAACATTCGCGTTTGTCTTCGGAGTGTTTGGGCTTAACTTCCCTTGTTTATGAGACATTCAGGAGATCTTTGATTAACACTGGCGATGCAGCAAGATAGTCTGAAATCGAAGTTAGCAAAAAGAAATATCCAGAAAAAGCATTAGTTCAAACAACAATTCAGGGTCCTGCAAGCTTCACTGAAAATGACAAGACGTGCTCTTTACTCAGACACTAGATTACTATTTCAAGCCCTTTCCCGATTCGACTAGTAACATCTCACATAATAAAAGCGTATAACCTAATGTAGAAATTTGCCGTTACTGGCAGGAACATCGGGTGACGACTAGGGTTGCATACACTTGAGTAGTACTTGTATCGTTATCACTACTCACCCTGTTTTTTCAGTTCTCTAGAACAGCCCTAGTATTCAACGTTGAACAGATAGCTTCGACAGCAGTTGTGTTTCTTAAGCACTAAAAAGAATTCAGTCAATACGAAAGTTACGACAGGTGCAATCAATATGCAATATGATTCATACACAAGAGCTTCAATACATTTTACGAACTTATCTAGCGATTTATGCACTCTAAAGAAATTAACAAAAATCAGGTATTCAGCCAAAAGCGAGAAACATGTCGATGGAAGCGGTACCGCTTTCTGTTTTCAATGTAATAATGTAGACTATGAGTAATACATGTTGTATGATTAACATGTTAATGTGGGACTTAGTTCATGTGTCTCCCGTTTTCAGTGGCATAATAAGGTTGAAGCTATCTTAGGTAAGGAAGGGAAATCAATTGATGATGTTGTGAATTTACACCGATTGAGATGGTTAGGACACACGTTACGCATGCATGTCTAGCCATAACCTTCCTCGACCGACGGACAATGTTAGCTGACTGACAGAATGGATCAGGTTGGAAAAGAGGCAGTGGTCGTCAAACCAAAACATGGTTTCATTAGTCAACGAAATCCACAATAGTTAGTTTAAGCTAGTCACGTCGGGAGGTGTAGAGTTCCTGACTGGTTGAGGCCCTTGGAATGGTAAGAACCAATGAAGGCTGCAGACTATTGGTGATGTGGGCGGAAATCGTTCTTAATGACTGGTGCGGATGCATTCACTCTTTGTGATTCACAATATCCAATAAAATTCTACTGTTCTTCAATATTATTCTTTTTGCCTCATATTTCTGTTTACTATATCTCTTTTGAATCTTTACTCTCTCCCCTTGCTTTGTATGCTACATGGAGTATGGCAACACGAACTGCTGCATACCTATGCAGCAGTTCTACGCAGAAACCAGTCAGTCAGTTGCGAAGAAGTGAATCAGTTGGTTACCCTTCGAAGCAGAGATAAAAGCAGATGAAAATGTAACTATACTATAATGATAAATGTGAGGATAACGAAGATTAATTAGTATTTTCAGAACATGGGTGATGACGAGAATTGAGAGCCACTATGCGAGATTAAAAACCACTTTCATTAAATCTCCAACGAGACTTTTAATATCCTAAGGAGCCCAAATACCCAGTCTACACCTTAATACATGGTTTAAGCCGACAGAGATCTAATGGATTTCTGTAATGCTTCGGTTTTGTGACTAAATCGAAAATCACCTTTAGATCAAGAGATATGACGTTTTCCGGAATCTGTGGGTGGGTGATCGATACCCCCGACCCGAAATAATATCTGCCTAATCTTCACTGCTTTGCTTGCACAAGCTACAAATGCTCTTTGCAGAACTGTGGAACCTAGATTCTTCTGTAGCCATTTAAGCTGGTGCTTCTAATACACCAGGATGATCACCAACCTATGTTATTCAGCTGCAACTATCTCAGAATTCCACGTTGTATATGACAGAACCACAATTCCTGCAAAGCAATATTCAAATGAATGTAATCCTATCCAGTTAATCCAAATAAATTAGTGCAGTCTGTGTTTATTCGAAAAGCTTGCATTTTAACGGGAAGTATAAGTCTGATGACTTAATGGACAATATTTTATTGTCTTTTTCCGGCTGTTGTGACCTCGACAGAGAAAACCCTAGCTACACTTCCTGTAGTGGTTATGCTCTGAAATTTTTTCAATGTAGTCAGGTTCATCTTTAGTGTTTTTCCTAACGCTGAATATCAAACTTGTAGGATCAATGGAATTTGGATATAACAGGAGAAACGATAAAAGTCTAGGTCAGCACAGTGTGAGATAAACAATCTCCTGCTGGACTTTTAGAACTCGGGAACTTCGAAGAGTGGACAGATATCGGCTATTAACATTTCAAAGAACTCAAGTCAGGAAATCTACATTTATCAGCATTTCTCAAAGAGATGCCTTACATGTATTACGATGTTGTTTTTTCGCCCACGACTTACTAACAACCTAATCAAGAAGGCTTTAGACCAGGTAGAGGGTGCATAGATCACATCTTCACTCTCCGACAGATTCTACTACACAGACACACTTTTCGGCGTCCAACAATTGTCATATTTCTTAACTTGAAGGCGGCCTTCGACTCCGTGGATCGAAAGGTACTATGGCAATGTTTGACTGTGAATGGAGTGCCAAGAAAGTACATTGCACTAATCAAGACACCCTATCCAAACTCACGTAGTCGTGTAAGGGCTTATGGGGAATTGTCATCTGAATTGGTAACAACCAGTGGTGTCCGACAGGGATGTCCACTTTCCCCATTTCTGTTTAACTTCATCATAGATATGCTGATGGAAGTATCCTTAACTGAACGTAATGACTTAGGAATCGACTTGTTACCAGGGAATAGTCTTACGGACTTAGAATATGCAGATGACATAGTCCTGTTAGGGGAGGATGCTGACAAAATGCAGAGTCTTCTGAACACCTTGAGCAGCAATCTTCGTATGTTCAGCATGCGATACGCCCTTGCAAAATGCAAGATGCTGCTACAGGACTGGACTACGTCAACTCCTAGCTTAGTGATAGGGAGTGAAGTGATAGAACATGTTGACCACTTCACCTATTTGGGAAGTTGTATTAGCACCAACGGACTGTCTGTATGTCTGTCTGTTTTCGACATAGAACTTTGCACAAATGTGCGGAAGTTCAAGTCGCCACACTCCGTGTAGCACGCGAAGCAAGAGAAGAAAGTACAAGAAAAGAATAATAGAAACAGTGAGCAGAGGGGTGAGACAAAGGAGTAATAAAGAAAAACAAAACAGTTTCATTGGAGGTAATAAGTCACAGGGAGTGGATGCATCTGCACTAGCCATTGAGAACGATTTTGAGCCATGTCACAAATTGTTTCCAACCATAGATTTTTACCATCCCGAGGACCCCAACCAGTCAGGAAGTCTACACCTTCCTACGTGGCTTAGACTAACTTGTAGATTCCATTGACTGGTGCCAAGTTTTTGTTTGACCACCGCTAGCTTTTTTCCAGCCTGACCCTATATCCGCTAACATTGCTCGTCGAGGGAGGCGATGGCTTGGCATACGTAATACATGTCCTAACCATATCAGTTTTTGTAACTTCACGACTTCGTCGATTGATTTCCCCTGTTTACCTAGAACTCTACGCCTAACCTCAATGTTGCTCACCTTATTATGCCACTTTACACGGGAAATAGAGCGCAGGCACCTATGATCAAAGACAGCTAGTCTTTTCATGTCTTCCACTCTCAGTGGCCAGGTCTCACAACCATAAAGGAGGACGGAGCGGACTGATGAGCAGTACACCCACCCTTTGGTCGATAGTCGAACATCTCGTCTACGCCAGAGTCGGCGTAAACTGGCAAATGCGAAACTAGCCCTGTGTATCCGTGCTGAGATTTCGTCAGAGATCAGCCCGTTGGCGTTGGCTGATGGTTCTTCCCAAATAAGTGAAGCGGTCAACGTGCTCTACCACTTCACTTCCTATTTTTAAACTAGGCGTCGATGTAGTCCAGTCTTGTATCATCATCTTGCATTTGGCGGGAGCGAATCGCATGCCAAACATTCGTAGATTGCGGCTCAAGGTGTTTAGAAGACTCTGTATTTTGTCAGCGTCTTCGCCTAGAACGACTATATCGTCTGCATATTCCAAGTCAACGAGATTATTCCCCGGTAGCAAGTCAATCCCTGAGTCGCTGAAGTCACCTAGGGTTAAGTCCATTAACACATCTATGATAAAGTTGAATAGAAAAGGGGATAATGGGCATCCTTGACGGACACCACTGGTCATCAGTTCAGATGACAGCTCGCCGTAAGCCCTCACCTGGCTGATGGCATGAGTACGAGTAGAGTGCCTTAATCAGTGCAATATATTTTCTCGGAATTCCCTTTACAGCCAAGCATCTCCAGAGAACTTCTCGATCGACAGAGTCGAATGCTGCCTTTAGGTCAAGAAATATAATGACTGTTGGACGCCGGTAGGAATGCCTGTTCTAGAATCTGTCGGAGGGTGAAGATATGATCAATACACCCTCTTCCTGGTCTAAAGCCTGTCTGGCTCTCTTGTGTTTGTGCCTCCCGAGCACCACTCAGTCTACGCGTGATTATTGAGCCTAAGACTTTAGATACTATATTAGTCAAGCTAATCCCTCTGTGATTATCACAGGAAGACTTGTCTCCCTTCTTGTATATGGGGATAATCAGTGACTTACACCAATCCGATGGGACTTCCTCTGATTCCCAGACGCTGCCTAGTACCTCAGTTAATCCAGACACTAAACTGTCTCCACCGTACTTAAATACCTCTGGAGTGATTCCATCAGGTCCTGCTGCTTTGCCTAGTTTCAGATTGGTGACAGCTTTAGTAACCTCAGTTAGGGATGGAGGGCCTGTGTCTATATCCCATTCAGGGAGGTGTTGGACTGATTGGCGATGAAATCTCAGCACAGATCCAAAAAGCTCGAGCTGCTTTCGCTGACTTACACCATCTCTGGCGTAGGCGTGACATTCGGCCATCAACCAAGGGACGTGTGTACTGCTCATCAGATCGCTCCGTCCTTCTCTATGGCTCTGAAACATGGCCAATACGAGTTGAAGACATGAAAAGGTTGACTGCTTTCGATCATAGATATCTGCAATCTCTGTCTCACGTTAGGTGGTTTAATAAGGTAAGTAATCTTGACGTTAGGCGTAGAGTGTTGGGCAGGCAAAGAGGGAAAATCAGTCGACGAGGCTATAAAGTTACACGGATTGAGATGGCTAGGTCACGTGCTGCGCATGCCTAACCATCGCCTCCCCCGCTCGACGGGCGTTACTAGCTGATATAGGTGGTGCAGGTGGGAAAAGAGTAAGTGGTGGCCAAACAAAAACATGGCATCAATCCATGAAATCCTTGACAGTTAAACTGAGTCAGGTAGGGAGATGCAGACTCCCGGGTTGGGGCCCTCGGGACTCTAGGAATCAATGGCTGGAGACAATAGGTGACATGGCTCAAAATCGTTGTCAATGGCCAGCGCAGATGTATTCAGTCTCTGTAATCTTTCATATTTCTTTCTAACATTATCCATTCTGTTTCACTCTTATACCTGTCAAACTCTATTGATTCTCTTCACTCATCTTCTTGTCTACCTTTGTGTGCTATTTTGAACGTGGCAACTCGAACTGCTGCACTTCAGTGCCAATTTCTATGTTGAATCCAGACAGACAGAACAACCTAACCTCAACCCATCCATTATACTTAGCCTCGCCATACACCTAGCTACACTTCTAAAAATAAAATTTCCGTCGTCTGCAGACTAAAAATCTAATTTCGTAAAGGACATCAAAGTACCAGGTCAAAATATGCAGAGGAAAGAACCTGAGACTCACCGGTTTAGTTAGACACAACAGAATAAGGCGCTCCCATGTTTCTCCAACAAGCAGAGGTAGAAATATCACACATGAGAACCGTATTCCTTTTATTTTACCCAACTGTCTCAATCAAAAGGAGTAGTGAGCTGTCGTATGGTATATTCCCTGACCTAGTCACAAAACAGAACTATTTCGAAAATGCCAATTTCCTTGAGTGACTTATCTACGCTCAGTGTATACTAACATCGTATTTCCACTCGAGATGTCTAGTGGCTTGAGCATCTGTATCAATGGCTGGCTGGTTCACGAATAAATACTACGTGAGCATCAAGGTAAACGACAGTTTATGCTATGTAAAATTACTGTACTCAATGGATTACTCGCACATATTTCATGATGATGGCCACAACACACCCATCGAAACCTTACTTTGTGTTAATCAGTGTGTTCCTGGTAAATCATTGCTTAAGCAGGCACGTGCTACAGAGATAAGTTTCCACACTTTTGTAGTCGAGGAATGTTAGGCTAATAAGCAGTTTGGAGTAGTCCAATAATCTGGCGAAAGGCACAAAACCCTGACCAGTAAACCGACTGAATAGGACGCTGCAAATGATTTCCGTAGATTTCAGTTATGTCAATAACAACTATTTTTTATTAGGTTGGTCTACGTTTTATTTAGCTAAAATTCTGGAGCGACTGGGACGACTGTTAGGTGAACTCAGTGATGTAGTCGGTGCCAACTCGTTGCACAAATGATCAAAGTTGGAGAGGGCCTGATCTAAAAGCTGTGATTTTGTAAAGAATGTAAACAACTGCTGCATATTAATACTAGCCTGCAATTTCGACATTTATATAATGAATGCCATTAATTTACCGTGGTCTACCGTTGTGAATCTCAACGTGCACACAAAAACAACATTGCACTCTTTAAATTACTTGGGCATCATAATACACAGGACAACAATTACACTTACCCCAGTGTGCTGGAGTAAAAGGCCGGAATAAAACTCCACGAAGTCTAGTAAATTCAAACCGAGCGCTCAACCCTACAGCATCGTCTAGCCTAACAAATATCGTGGCATACTGTCCTTTAACATATTAACAGCGATCTATTCGTAGGCCTTTAGATCCTGTAAAATAATCCAGCATTTTCATGATAGTATCAATAATGGCATATACCTTCCCTTAAAATATCTGCATCTCGTATTTCTTAAGATTTCAATGTCTTCAACGTATTACAGCATTTCTCTATTCCAGCAGCATATAATATGCTGTGTTGAATTCGAATGGAAATATCCAAATCAAGAAAAATCAGAATAATTTTGTTAGGGATTGCCAGAATGAACCCTCGTGCTTCGAATTTTGTCAGCTAATTGATCTGACATTAAGAAATCTTGCAGCATCTAAACTTTTCAGTGTTCCAGGTTGTTCAAATTTGGCTAGTATGCTGTAAGTTCATCCAACTTGATACCCTCCTTGAATACTCCTTAATCTTAAGCACTACATCCCATTTCCCTCAAAGGTAAATGTAGATTGCTAGATAGAAAACTATTTAATCTGAAAGCCCATGGTTGAATTACTAACCCCTTGTTGTTACTAGAATCCTCGAGATATGTGCACTCCGTGTGGCCGTCACGTGCATGCGTCTGTTATAGAAGGTTTTGAAATGAAACTGGCTAATTCCTTTGCTGTGTTTCACGCAGCAGCAATGCGTGGGATAGGTTTCACTCTGAGGAACGGCCTTGATACGAGTGTTTTTAATGTTATATGGGGAACCGCCTGCTGAGGGCTATAAAATCACCGCTCCTTCGTTCCATCCCAATTTTCCTTGGTAGGCTTTTTCAGCTGCCAGGGAGCACTACAAGTGGCCAAAAGCACAAAGTTGCAGTTTGAAAACGTAATAAATCTGTTTGGAGACAATGCTTTAACACAAACTACGCATACATATTGGCCAAAATCACAAGATCTCCACGTTTGCTCAAGATATTGAATTTCTTGTTTACTTTAAGTTTGGTGGTTTATTACTGTGTCTGTGTGAAACACAGTCCTACTGTTAAACATAACAGTGAGTAGCTTTTGTTCTTTCCTCGGTCTCCAAGATTGTTTCCGAATACATTATCATTACAATTACTTCTAGCACTGTCCTTCATTCAGTGACCCAGCCAAATTTTTATTTGGTGAGGGGCCTGACGCTGATCACAGTATCACAACGGTTCAGCAAAAAGTATCTCCTGCTGCATTTAAAGATTAATGTGGGACCAAAGCAGACTAATAGCTAGACGAGTCAAGAGATTCAGTCTTACCCACCAAGATACCCAAAAATCGAAATATATCTCCACACATCTTAGTGGACTCAGTCTTTTTCGTACATTTATTTATATATTTACACACTCATCATAGCGGATTGCTTTTACTCTGTGGACCAATGACTTTATCAGATTCCGTCTTATTTCCAAAGTACGAAGCTAAAAAATGAGTATGCTAACCAGTTAATGTAGGTTTTCGGTATACACTCCTTCTTACTGTACCGTACACTTTTCTGGTCACAAGGACGTCAGATAATGACATAGAGAGCTACTTTCCTTCCCGATGGTAAAATTTAATGTGAGATGAACAAGGTCAAATGTGTTCATCATGTTCTTTTCTTCAGCATCATTTTTCATGATCAAAACGTATCATCCATGTACCGATAGAAGAATTCATCAATTAAAATTCTCAAAGTGAGATTTTCTGGTTTCATGTCTAGTGGTCTTTCTGACTAGAAAAGGAGGATGGTATAATAGGAAGTGTATATCGAAAGTCTACATCAACTTGTCTGTATACGATAAGCCAATCTCCATTTTCCCTTCGGTACTAAACCTGAAGCTGCATTACTCTGTTGATTTCAAATTCTCTCACTATTACCAAAAAATTTTCAAAAACCGGAAGATTACTTTGATTTATATCTCATAGCTTTCCAAACCAAGCACCTAAAATGCACATACGGCCCTCCTCCTAAAGTTGTGTCGATTTATCCTAGATAGCACTTATGTTAAAGATAAACTACGGATCAAAAGTGTCCAAAGGGGGTTCACACGTAGAATTTTAGGAACAAGTCTTAAAGTCCCCTATAACTATCATTGCACAACTCTTCATACTTAACCCTTTTGGTTCGGGCGTCAACGAATTAACCTCATCCTCCTATTTAGAATTCTCAAAGAAACAGTATACTTTCCCAATAACAACTTCAACTTTACATCCTCAAACTATCAATTGCGCAGCAACGGGTCCTCTCTGAGTCATGTTCTTTGTCGAAGGAAGCCTTTTTCCAACTTCTCCACAGCCAAATATGGGCGATTATAGAACCTCTTGCCAAGCGCCACAATAAATTTATTTATTTATTTTTTATTTTTGATTACAGCTTGATTCCACGCTGTATTTTGGTACAAGTATGGAATTTTCAGCATGGATACGGTAGCCCAAATTTTGCAGGCCGACCATAGATATCAGGTGTGCGTCGGCAGGGGATCGAACCTCGGACCATGTGCATGGTCGGCGAGAGTCCTAACCACTGTGCCACCGACGATTCACCTATCTACTAAATAAATATTTCTCCGAAAACAGTCTTGACACAGTTTGCCACACGCTGAAAATTCGCGAATTAGTTTATTTCCCCCTTTGACTTACGTATCTAAACTTCTCTGTTCAATTAACACATTAACAGGAACAGCTAGAATTATCATGCCTATTTAATATAATCAGCGTTGCGCTAATGCTGTTCTCAGATCCTCTTTTAGTTAATTCAATTATTCGTTTAGCAAGCCTCATCTCAAAATATCTGCGATACATTCATACAAACTTGGAGTGGAGTACACAACCTAACATAATCACCACTGCAGCTGCACCAAATCTACATGAACTACCCTCTCTGCAGCCACATCTCCATCGCCTGAAAAACCCTGCTGGACTCATCTGTGACACCTTTTCAGTCATTCGACTCCATTTAAACCCAGCTGTAGACTGTCAGATCAATCAAATGTTATAGTAAATATCACTAGCAACACTGCATTTTGCGCGTTTCAGTGTAGCAAGAGCTCTAACTCAAGGTCGAGCAGCAGATACCCTGAATATGAGAGGGATTAAAATCTCGTCTGATGACAACCTAGTGTCGAGCATAAATAACATCCACGTCTACGCAATTTCCAGCTCCACAGAGGATCGTCTAAATCATCAACTTAACTATACGACAAGTCTTAAATATTAATGGATTTGATTTTACGGTTCTGTTACTCAAATCCTGTGTAGTCAAATACTTCTGGCCCAAATATTGCAATTTACTGCTGTCTGTTTCTGTGGATGTGTACATTTATATGTTGTACCATCATGCAGTGTTTTTTGCTCTTTCTATTATTGTCTCTTCCTTTTCATCTGTCTATATTTAAAATCCAGAAAGCAGACTATAAACCTCCGATTTATTATCGAATTATCGAATTGATGATGCCTTTAAACTGGCGTCCCTCATGTAAAAAATGAGAATATATATTATTTATTTATTTATTAACGTTTTTATTATAAATAAATTTCATAAAATGCTGCAGCAGACACGAGACATACCAGATGGATGAGTGAAAGTAGTCGTTGATACCACGAATTTCGACGAATTAGATGCTGAATGTGATAACAGTCGATGTGACATAGAAAAATAAAAAATTTTGTGAAAGTAATATTTCCCCAGGGCCTAGTAAATTCAAAGGTGAGAGGGTGGTGATTGCTATTCAGCGGATATGATGGTGGGGACTTAAGAAAACCACCCTTATCTTTCGGAGAGCACTCTATCGCTAGGGTTCCTGAGTTTAAATGACCTCAACTAAAAGAAAGATAAAAACTGTTCGAATACCATAACTTGGGCATAAACCCTCCAAATACAGGCTCGTGGTATGATTTTTCTACCTCAGAAGGCCATCCAACTGTTTGAATCAGAGCAACTGTGTAAACATCACTGGACTTTCGCCTTTCTTCTACATATTTTATGTGGTTTGGCGTTCGGATTTAGTTTCTCCTTCAGTATCTATTCCTTCCACTACTCTACATAGGTGGGGACAGTCATTTGTTTCTCAACTGTTCTTAACACTTTTAACTTGAACTAACCGCTAGTAAGAAACACTATAAAATTTAGTGACCATAAATTCGCGGTAATAATGGAAAGAGAATGAACCCTGAGTTTATCTCATATGATTTGTTTCAGTTGGTAGTATTTGCCGGCTGCCTCTGCACCCCTCTTGCTGTTTTATTCTGTCTTCTCTTTTCATAGGTACTGCATTAGAGCACGACATATGTACAATAATGCTTCTTTCTACGCTTTCATTAGATTAACGGAATTTGAAACCCCTAGAACCAACATTTGGCGGTTATCGGGACCACTGTTAATTCATACGATCAATAACTAAACAACCTCTATCATGAAATCTGTTTATCATTGCAGAGTTGGTCCCATAAATCTGCTATTATCAAGATGATGCTGCAAATACCCGCTGCTATAGAATCTCAGGAATTTTCAAACCCTTCATGACTGATTTACTGATAATGACAGCAAGTTGTGCGCCGTATGTGCCTTACCCTAGCACTTGTGTATTATATTTCTTCTTACTTTCCAATAATGCAATTCCCGGGTGAAGTTGACTGACTAAAGGTATAATAACGATTAAAAAGTTATACTTAAACCAATATCTTATAACTTATTCCACAAAAAGTAAACATCACAAGCAAATAACATAGTTATCTGGATCCTTTTACTTTCCCCATATCAATATCATAGAACAGGGTTCAGTTTGATATTGTACTTGTCAAATACTATCGTGACTGTGCAAACGGTATGTTAATCATGCAAATGCCATTAGTTCCCTTTATTAATTTCTACAACACGATAAGAAGACGAAGTTTATCTGAAACGTGTAATGTATTGGCGCAACACATTTCGGGCATTCTTATCACACACGTACTTGTCATGCAGTCTTTATAGAAGGCAAGAAGGGACGAAAAACTACAATACCGGTCAGACTGTGTACAGATCAAGGTCACAAATAATGGGTAGGGCGACGCAAAGAACCAAGGACCAATTTACTTCATAATATTTTCAACTCTTTTGCTTCATTTCTTCTCTTGCATCTTTCTTACCCACACCTTTGCGTCGCCCTACCCATTATTTGTGACCTTGATCTGTACACAGTCTGACCGGTATTGTAGTTTTTCGTCCCTTCTTGCCTTCTATAAAGACTGCATGACAAGTACGTGTGTGATAAGAATGCCCGAAATGTGTTGCGCCAATACATTACACGTTTCAGATAAACTTCGTCTTCTTATTGTGTTGTCGAAAGTGTTATTCTCTGTATGATTATCGATTGCTCATTTTACGGTCTCGTGCCTTTGAAATACAAACTAAATGTGATAAAATGCCTGGTCCACAGAGCAAGATCAATCTGCCGTGCTGAACGTCTTAATGAAGAGTCTATAATAATAAAACAGCTGCTGACTGAGAACAGTTACCCAGACAATTTCGTCGATAATAATATTAATCCAAAGTCAACGCAGGCGAAAGTGCCAACAGTTCGAAAAAACTCTATTCTTCATCTTTAGCTCTTCGGGGAAAATATAAATGATATGTTAAGATAATGCCTTAGAAATGCAGTAAAAAGGGTATTCAGTGCTGTTCAACTATTCTTTGTTTTCCAAACCAGCCCTATTCTGCGCTCGGGAGTGAAAGATAAGCTGCCTGATTTTGCCTCTCCTATGTGTATCCACCATTTCGAATGCTCCTGTGAAACCGGTTACATAGGCAGTAAAATTAAGCGTTTTGTCGCCGGATTCTGGAAGGTCATCTCAAATGATTAAGTTAAGGACGAGCAGAATCAATTCGTAGCTTTATTATATCTCGTCTTGTGGATGCAGAACACAAAATGGATGTCAACAAGGCTTTAAAAGTCATCTACCGCATACTAAGCAATCTTCACCTAAAGAGTCCGTCCATTGCATATTTATGGGGCCGTTGAGATCCATATCAGTAGACCTAATTTATGTGTCCAAAAGGAGCTGGTTCAGACACTGTACTTACCTTGGCCATCTAGGTTTCAATGATCCTCAGAGTTTTGTGAAAATTTCCTTAACTTTAGTTGGTATTCTACTTGCTATTACATTTTCATTATTATTAGAATTTGTGCAACTTAAGAAAACCGTAATTGAACTTATCTTACTTAACAAATCGGTATTATTTAAAAACACAAATATTATTACCGATGATTATTCTAGAATATTCTATGCGTATAAACATCAATAAAATTATAGAGCCACAAGAGGAAATTATCGAAAAA